CTTCAGGCAGTGAGTGATTTGTCTCCAACTATGCAACAAACAACAGACTATCTCACACATCATCTCACAAGTTTTGCTAATGGATCAAACTCAACCGGCCCCAGTCTGAACTCACTCCTCCCTCCTCGGCACCCTGCATCCATCTCCCAGGCCCTGCAGAGACTCTACATTCCTACCAGGTCCACAAGCCAGAAACCATGCTCCTTCCTCTCTCCATCCTCCTCAACCAGCTAAGTGTCACCCCATGTGGTTCCATCTCTACTTCCCCTGTCTCCACCTGCCTTCTTTCAGCTCATCTGCCATCAGCCTGGGTTAGCCTCCTGGACTGTTCTGTTACGTCTCTTCATCTGCTACTACCGACTGTCAGACCATGTGCTTCTACCACGTCATACCCATGCCCACCCCACTCCCCAAAGGCTTACCCGGCCTGATGACCACGGCCTCTCCCTGACCTCCATTTCATCTCCCACCCCACCTCCCCACCATCTCAGAGCCTGGCCTCTCACTCACCTTTGGGAAAGCTGTTGCCTCATTCGGGAATGCTCTTCCCCAAACTGAATCTGCTTATCAGCATTTGGAGCCCAGATGCAATGCCACTCCTCCGTGGGACTCCTGGGAGCCCACTCCTCCCTATCACCTGAGGCCTAGTACCTGAAAATTCCAGCTGAATGATCCCAGCTTGCAACACGGAGCTCCAGGGAGCTGTCTTCTCATTCTGCTTTGCAGGCTGCCCTGCCCTCTAACCCATCTTTGTGTGTCTGAGCTGGGACAGGCCACAAAACACAGAGGACATGCAACACTGGGAGTGGACATGCCCACAAGGACACTTCAGCCACTCCCAGGAGTGTCTTCACCCTGTTTATTTTCTCAGGACCAGCGAGAGCCACACATTAAACTAACTGGCTGTGAAAAGGATATCAGATCCTGCACAGCTTAATGACATCACAGTGATTACATATAAATAATAATCACACATCTCAACCATTAACAATAATGATGACAATTAAAGTGAAAAAGATTGACTTCTGGTTATTAATAGCATTATATTAGTAACTACCATCATGAGAAATGTTCCTTGGGAAGAGGTTGGTTTTTCTCCAGCGCTGACTGCCCCAGAGTGGGGACAGAGGACAGAACAAAGAAAAAAGGCAAGAGAGATCTGCAATATCGAGACAAGATACAATCTGCCACCTTCCCACTCTACTACTCTCTCCCCTCTCGGCTCTCTTAGGTCAACCACAACCACAGTAGCAACAGTAGTAACTAACACAGGACACAAGTGAGCCGGCTGTATGTAGTTTCCTCACATTCAATGTCTCTCTCCAGCTCACAACCCAGGGGGCCCATGGGACAGTGATCTAGAGTGGGAACTGAGGCCATTCCTGTGTGACTCCAACTCCTGCCCTCGTTTTCTGTTATGAGCCATTTGTCAGGGAAACCCCACAGTAGCTAACAGGGATGAGGCAGCAAGTGTGCCCTGGAAGCCACAAGAGCAGGTGGAGCAATGACCCAAGTTGGAGTTTTACCACATACAGAAAAATTGTTCGAAGTAAATTCAAGACAGTAATGAAATTATTCATGTCTACTGGGATATATCTTAAGGACAAAAATAATACAAAGAAATTAAACAGGAGTCATATTGATATTGTTACTATTTTTAAATGACACACACACAGGCACACACAATGTTATTAGGATTCAAGAACATTTACTGGACAAATAAAGAAAACTAAAGTAAAATAAAGTATGTTAAATAAAATTCCTATAATCTTACATTCGACTTAGAAATACAAGTTATAAAATAATAATGTATTTTTCTTTTTCAAATAAAAAGAAATCTGTATTTCCTAGATCCATGGAAATATGTATTTCCACCAAAAATATCTAGAAACAATAAAAGCCAAGTAGTAATAATCACCACTGGCATGCAAACTTTAATATCCAGTTGTTAGCAGAAGATGTGTGAAATGATTCTAGACTATCCTATATAATAAAAGGCTAATATGCAAATCAACTGAACGATGGAATGACCAGTCGCTATGACACACACTGACCACGAGGGGGCAGATGTTCAATGCAGCAGCTGTCCCCTGGTGGTCAGTGCACTCCCACAAGGCTCACCGCTGGCGAGCACAGGTTCGATTCCTGTCAAGGACACATGCCTGGGTTGCAGGCTCGATCCCCAGTGGGGGGCATGCAGGAGGCAACCAATCAATGCTTCTCTCTCATCATTGATGTTTCTATCTCTCCCTTCCTCTGAAATCAATAAAAATTTATTTTAAACAATTTTTTTAAAGAGCAATGAGTTAAACTACGTCAAAGAAGTTAAAATCTTGAATCTATAATGATAACTGCATTGGTTATGTTGGCAATTGCTAGAATACCAAATTAGTATTATTCTGAAAATTGGTACATAAACTGGAAGAATGGTATTTATCTGGACTTTCCTGTACAACCTATCTTTTGGGGAGACCAACTCATTGATGACCTAAAGTTCTTATTTATAGAATAATTCCAATCAATAAATACAGGCAGAATTATTGTGCTAGAATACCGTTTTGCAACCCTAATGAAATAGTAACCCTAACAATGATCATCAATAGCTTCCAAATCCATTGACAAGAAATGTCTTACTGTGCTCACTTCAGCAGCACATGTACTAAAACTGGAATGATACAGAGATTAGCATGGCCCCAGAGCAAGAATGACACACAAATTCATGAAGCGTTCCATATCTTTTAAAAAAGAAAAGAGGGGAGAAACCAAGATGGCGGCATAGGTAAACACCGGAGATTGCTGCCTCCCACAACCACTTCAAAAATACAACTAAAAGACGGAAAGGACATCATCCAGAACCACAGGAAGGCTGGCTGAATGGAAATTCTACAACTAGAAGGAAAGAGAAAAGCATACCGAAAATCAGAGGAGGCGCAGTGAGGAGGTGAAATACTAAGGTGCAGAGGTGTGTGCGGAGCAGGCTGGCGGCTGAGGGCACGGTTGTCGTTTTCAATCGGGAGGGAGTCTCAGGCTCTGCGCTCCAGTTCGGGCGAGTCTCTAGGGACCCAGACTCATACAGGAGAAGCGGGACTGTCTGGCATCAGTCAGAACCCGAGGGCAGCTTTCTCTCCGAGGGGCTTGCAGCGATTAATGGGACACTGAGAAGCAGAGTCTCTGAGGGCAAGATTGAGAGCAGCCATAATTGCTATCCCCACCCTGTTGATCCCGTGGGACCCGCCCTGCCCAAGCCCTGCAGGGAGACTTTTGCTGGATAGCCTCAGGCAAAGGCTAGATTAGCACCTCCCTAGAGATCCAGGAGCCAGGAAGCCGAGAGGTCAGAATGGGACCATCCAGTTTGCAGCTCCATGGGACCATAAAAGACACAGTCAGGGGGCAGACTCAGTGAGCACCAAAGCCCCATTGAAGCAAGTCTAGCCCCAGAGGGGTGTCTCCAGCACAGAAGTTCTCCCACTGCCGACACAGCTGATTCTCACAGCCAATTGGCCTGGAGGTCAATTCCTCCCAGTGATAACTACAACAATCAAGGCTTAATTACAACAAGACTGTGCACAAAGCCCACAAGGGGGTGCACCAAGAGTGTCTACCTCAGGTAATTGGGACACTTAGCACAGAAAGGCACTCTATCGACACAGTGAAGCATAAAAAATGCCGAGACAAAGAAACAGGACACAAATGACAGAATTGGAGGAAAGCAAACTGCTGGATATAGAGTTCAAAACCACACTTTTAAGGTCTTTAAAGAACTGTCTAGAAGCCGCAGATAAATGTAGTGAGATCTTCAAGAAGACTGGTGAGACCACCGATAAATGTAGTGAGTTCTTCAAGAAGACTGGTGAAACCCTCGATGTTGTGATAAAGAACCAACTAGAAATTAAGCATACACTGACTGAAATAAAGAATATTATACAGACTCCCAACAGCAAACCAGAGGATCGCAAGAATCAAGTCAAAGATTTGAAATACGAAGAAGCAAAAAACACCCAACCGGAAAAGCAAAATGAAAAAAGAATCCAAAAATACGAAGATAGTGTAAGGAGCCTCTGGGACAGCTTCAAGCGTACCAACATCCGAATTATAGGGGTGCCAGAAGAAGAGAGAGGGCAAGATATTGAAAACCTATTTGGAGAAATAATGACAGAAAACTTCCCCTACCTGGTGAAAGAAATAGACTTCCAAGTCCAGGAAGTGCAGAGAACCCCAAACAAAAGGAATCCAAAGAGGACCACACCAAGACACATCATAATTAAAATGCCAAGAGCAAAAGACAAAGAGAGAATCCTAAAAGCAGCAAGAGAAAGAAAATCAGTTACCTACAAGGGAGTACCCATACGACTGTCAGCTGATTTCTCAACAGAAACTTTGCAGGCCAGAAGGGAGTGGCAAGAAATATTCAAAGTGATGAATACCAAGAACCTACAACCAAGACTACTTTATCCAGCAAAGCTATCATTCAGAAGTGAAGGCCAGATAAAGAGCTTCACAGATAAGAAAAAGCTAAAGGAGTTCATCACCACCAAACCAGTATTATATGAAATGCTGAAAGGTATCCTTTAAGAAGAGGAAGAAGAAGAAAAAGGTAAAGATACAAATTATGAACAACAAATACACATCTATCAACAAGTGAATCTAAAAATCAAGTGAATAAATAATCTGATGAACAGTATGAACTGGTGATTATAATAGAATCAGGGACATAGAAAGGGAATGGACTGACTATTCTCGGGGGGGGGAGGAATGTGGGGGGTGAGGGAAGAGATTGGACAATAATCGTGCACCTATGGATTAGGACAGTGGGTGGGGAGTGAGGGCGGTGGGTGGGGTGGGAACTGGGTGGAGGGGAGTTATGGTGGGAAAAAAGAGTAACTAATGTAATAATCTGAACAATAAAGATTTAATTTTAAAAAAAAGAAAAGAAAGAAATGTCTTACTGACTGGTTCAAACTGACATCACCTGAGCTCACTGATGAACTTCAGATCCCAAAAGGAAAGACTCCAGCCTTCCATGCTCCTGGTGGATGCAACAGAAAATATGGCACCAACTGGTGGATAGTTTTACAAAGAAAATCCAATTCTAATCAAGCCTTTAGATCTAATTATCAACTTATACAAAATATAATAGAGAAACAACAGCACAGAGTCAGCAACTCCAGAATGTGGAAAATTCTACAGAACAAATGTCTCATCAAATAAATAACAAGGGGGGTGGGGGAAAGAGGGAAAACTTTTGGCTGAGAAAAAAACAGGTACAGATATGGAGCACATTGTTTTATTTCCTTTTTTAACTGTAAAAAGAAGCAAAGAGATGTAAGCATTGACTGGATATTAGATAACATTACGTAATTATTTTTCATATCTCTAGTGTGATAATGATAAAATGCTTATGTTTTTTAAATAGTTCATTTCTCTTAGATATACATAGTTAAGCATTTATTAATGAAATGGTATAATATTTGGATTTTCTTTTAGATAACTTTGGGGGACATTAAAGCAGGGATAGAGGACAGGGGTATAAGTGAAACAAGAAAAAAAGCTGTAGCTTAATGCTTAACTTCGGTTTCCCTAATCAAAATGTCTACTCTTCACAGATATTTATAAATGTGTTATTAATTCTATCAGAGAATAAGAATCACATATGGTTGTGTGGCGATAATTTTCGTTTTAAGTTTAAGGTAATTTCAGATATTTTCTAAATATTGTTTATGTGCCCCTCGTCCTCAGCACAAAGATTGGCAAAACCAAGAGTGCCCTACAACCCTAGTTCTTCTGTTGGGGAAACACCTCAACTGTAGCCTTGGTGACCATGCTGCCTCCAACCCCACCCAGGCCTGGCACTGCAGTTTTCATGGGCTGCTCTTTGGGGCATGGAAACCCACTCACCCGATCACTCATCTCCATGTAGAGTCTCCTTTACGTCCAGCCAAGTCTTGATGGCTCAAAGCAATGGCTTCTGAGTGTTTTCTTGACATCGTATGACCCACATTTATCAAATTAAATTGGAGATTCCATGTAAATGCCTTTCCCTGTTCCTTTCTGCTAAGCCTCCTTCTCACTCCTGTTAGAACTCTTAGCTCTCCTTTTCCTGAAAGTCTCCTGCCTCAAGGAATAGCCTGAGACAGTCTCTCTGGCTTCCTGGCACAGGGGAACACGTGGCCTCCCCTCTCACCTCCAGCGACAGAGGTGTCATTGCTTGTTGGCCTTGGCCAATCTGAAATCATTGCAACCAGAGAGAATGAATGGGCTTCTTAAGATTAGAGACAACGCTGCACACGAAGCCCTCAGTGTCTAAAGGCAGTGAGCGATCAGCGATTGAGACCTATCGGCCAGTGCTGTCCTGCTCATGGCGAGCTGTGCCCCATGCGGGACACAGGGTGCTGTCATAGAGCAGGCCTGAGCTTTGGAATCAAACGCATGTTGGTTTGGAATCCAAATCGCCCTCTTACTGGATATCTTACTAGGGACAATAACTATTGCTTTCCGGGCCTCTGTTTCCTCCTCTGTGCAAGGCGCTCAGCAGCTGCTCCACCGCTTTGCTTTGAAACCCACAACCCTGAGCGCTGAGCTCACCCTGGGAGCCTGGAAAGGTTCTTTGTGAACTGCAAAAGGGCTACCTTGGCAGCTGAAGCTGATTGTCCTAGAACATCATGTCTGTGCGCAAAGCAAATAGTTGACTCATCTCATCTTGTTCCAGAGGTCTTCGTTTATCTTTCTGGGTTTCCAGTCTTGCTCTCCGGCCCGGAAAGCCTTTGGCCCCAGACCCCTTCAAGTTCAGGGCTCTTGCATTTAGCAGATCACATGGCGGCAACCTCCCGGGTCACTTATCTTGATAAGGCACCGTGGGAGAGAAAGCTCTGCCAGGGACGCTCACAGCTGCCACGCTGGTGCCGAAAGCGGGAGAGCGGTTAGGAGGCGGTTAGGAGGTTCTGCCGTTCTCCACTCGTCTGACAATGACGGACGATCTCCTGCCAAGGCTGGGCAAGCTGGTAATTAACGATCTGGTAATGGCACCAACTGTCCGCTGCCCGCTCGTTTGTCTTCCCTGTGAGGAGAGATTAAGAGCTGTGGATACAGTCTGGCGCTCCTGTCATTCCACGGGTTTCCCGATTTCTGTTGTTTTAAGGCCCGATGACCTGGAGAAGGTGCCAGTAGTGCGGGGTGAAGTGTGAGAGAGCTTTGCAGGAGTTCCCAGGGACATCAGAGGCAGAAGGACGGGAAGAGGAAACAGTGTGAGTATCAATCACGGGCCAGGAATATACCAGGTCTTTAACATTTCTCCTTCCACGAAAGCCTCAGGGCAGCCTTAGAAGGAGATGTGGGAGGATCACCCCCGTTTGTAGGTGAAGAAACTGATTTTCAGAGAGCAAGGAACGTGTCTAAGTCCACATGGCTGGCAAATGGTTCACCTGGGAGTTCAACACGATCAGTTTGATTCCAAAACGATTATTTTTAGCCGCTGTGTGCATGCTCCTGAAGAAAGGCAGTATCTGCAGAATCTAAACATGTTGTTTGGAGATACATGCATACATGCAATTATGGGTACAGCAACCTACACAGAACTCCGATGTCATGGAGGAAGAGGTGGAACCTGGGAAGAACCCAAAACAGCTTTTCAGGTTGTGTGGGAACTTCATGAATGCTCCTTTCACATTGGGCTTCATCACTGACGTGTGTCAATAGCATATGAAAATCTGGCCCTTCTCTAATCCTAAACAGATGCTCTCATG